TGAGTTGTACCTTTATTTTATGAGATTATGAGAACTCCATTCTGACTCGGATTTTTCTCTGCCTGTCTCAGTTCTTTCAGAGGTCGAGAAATAGGAAATGAGAAGTTGATTGCCATTCTTGATCTGCAACAAATTGGTTACAGAAACATTGATACTCGTGGTTTAATCACGGGTTTTCAGTTCTTGCAGGTAAATATTGTTCCATGTAAAAACATTGTATCGTGTCCTTTAATTTCTCGTAAAAACATTCTACTTCAGCATTGCTTGTCTGAGTGCAATGTTAAATAGTAGAAAAGCTTTCAAATCAGTCAGAAACTTCTCTCTTTACTTGTGTCTGCCTTCGCTAAAGAGTCCCTTTACGTTTTCTCCAGATAGTAGCTGTCCTTCTAAATTCATACTCAGAAAATGCAAGTTTTATAGTTGGCAAGGATTCAAGTATGTATGTCTGAGAACAAGAAAGGATCCTTTTTCATGCTATTCAGTTCCTAAACCATATTTATGCATGATCTGGTCGAAAAGCCATTCTTATGAACTGCTACGTGATATTTAGGAAACTGTAACCCTTTGATTTGGCAAATATGGTGTTAAATGTATGTAGAGGACCCTCAGATCCCTCTTATACCATCTTTTACCCATATAATATTCTCTTGGCGTCTCGTCACCTTGGATTGTGGATGATAATGCTGTGGCATTCCTCTTAAAAAATTACTGATGCAATAATCGGTTTCTTATCTATCGTTGATCTCCTACAAGCAGATTTCTTGCTGTATTTGAGAGCAAAATATCACTTAACAAAACCACGGATGCAAAATTTGCTGTGTTATTGATATGAAGCTAGAACTTGTTTTTCGAGGACTATGTAATATGTCTATGCTTTGTTGCATGTTAGAAACCAAAACTTCGTATTATCTGAGTGACTATGGATGATACAATAGCCAAGGCATTAATATGATAATCACACTCGTACTGATACTTTATGGTCTTAAAAAGACTGGCCATAGGTTGCATGCTGTAGAAGGTAACTCAACAGTATATTGCATCGAACATTATCAGCGATATGTTTTCTAACTTGATGCTATCCCATATGAATGTTCACATAGATTTATTTTTGATGTTGTTGTCTGTATAGTCATACTATCCAGAGCGCTTAGCCAAATGTTACCTTTTACACATGCCTCGGTTTTTTGCGGCAGTTTGGAGGGTGGTATCTAGCTTCCTTGAGAAGGCTACTTTAGAAAAGGTACATTGTACATATAGATTTTGGTACTATGGAAATCTCATAAAATCACGCTACTTGTACAATTTTCTTTAAAAATTGTTTGACAGATACTAAGGTGGCATGCATTTTGGTCCTTGATTTGACCTCAGCATCTGTCAACAAATGTGTAAAAACACTTATGTACATATATTGTGCATACTCTAAAGCAAAGAGGCTAAATTTGCTCTCTGGTTTCCTCATTTAGCAATATAAAGTACGATAATATCTGATCATCTTAATATTGTGTCAACGATTTTATTTCTGAGATATATGTGTTAGCTAGTTTTTCAAACTCCTGTGTTAACTGTAGTCTTGGCAATCTGTACAGATTGTGATTGTGTGCAATGAAGAGGAAAGAAGAGAGTTGATGAGAACTGTTGGTGAAGAAGCCTTACCGGAAGAGTATGGAGGACGAGCAAAACTTGTTGCGCTTCAAGATTCTGTAATAACATCATCGGATGACTACATGTCATGAATCTGCGAAGGTGCTGTTATGAACAAAAATCGTACAAACTCCTAATGTATGAATTATTCTCCATGTCAATGAAAACGAAAAGAAATTACAGAACAACTTGATGATGATGATAAAGAATATGACGTATTTATCAGTTACA